ATATATGTATTATGTATATATATATATGTGTATATTTATGTAGTCCAAATGAGTCTTTGTATTGTATCTTCTTCCACTTTGTAGGTTGCATTTTCTTTCTGTTAAAGGTATCTTTTGATAAGCAGAAGTTATTAATTTCAATAAAGTTCAGTTTTTCAATATTTTTAATTAGAACTTTTTATGTCCCGCTTAGGAAATCTTTTTTCTTCTTGAAGGCTTATTGTTTTACCTTTTATATTTAAGTCTGTATTAGGTCTGTGATTGACTTAAAATTTATTTTTATATATGGTATCAGCAGGGGTTAAGATTCATTTTTTTCTCATAGGGATATTCAGTTGACTGAGTATCAATTATTGAAAATATCAACCTTTCACCTACTGCACTGTAGGAACATCTTTGTCACAAAGCAAATGACCGTGTACATTGGGTCCTTTTCTGGACTGTCTTTTGTTTCATGGGACTATTTCTCTATCCTTGTGCCATTATCACACTGTCTTAATTTCTTTAGCTTTATACTTCTTAGTATTTGATGGTCTAAGTCTTCTAACTTTGTTTTTTTTCAGGATTGTCTTGGCCATTATTGGCTCTTTGCATTTTCTTAACACGTTTTAGAATCTGCTTGTAAATTTCCACAACTGTCTGCTGGAATTATGATTGGAATTATATTGAATCTATACATCAATTTGGGAAGAATAGTATTCTTGACAGTGTTGAGTCTTCTGATCTACTAACATGGTGTATTTGTATATTTAATTAGGTTTTTAATTTCAGTAATTTTTTACAGTTTTGCATATAGAGTTCTTGTCCATTTTATCTTGAGAACTTGATGTTTGGGGAGTCTTGTTCTTAAGTTTGTTGTCTTAGGTGACTACTTTGTAGGGGACACTCTTGGTTAATACATCAATCTTGGTATGTTTAAAAAGGAGTCATCTTATTTTCATTTGTAGCAGCATCATTGGTAATTAGAGCTTTGTTTTCTTTTAAGGTAGTTATTGATACTTTCACTAGTATTAACAAGCAGCAAAAAAAGAGTTACTCTTGGGGCCTTGGGATTTCAGTAATTTTATCTTGGCTTGGAAATCTTTGCACCCATCATTGATTGTTGCATGTTTGTATATTTCACTATCTACCTCTAAGAATGGCCTTTCTAAATAGAATAATAAGCTAGCAAAGCTTTTGTGGCACTTATTTGCCATAGTACATCTGGTCAATATTTTTGGTAATTAATCATATAAATTAGGGCTTCTGCCAGACTTGCAGAGCCCCTGATAATTTGGCTCAACTCAGCTTGTCCAATTGTGAATATTATTACTATGTAATATAACACAAGGCTTTATTTACTCCTGATACCCTCAGTACATATTATGTTTATTTCCTCATCTAGGCCTTTTTTAATGCAGTTTTTCTCTTAACTAAATCCTACTATTGTCAAATCCTTCTTCAAGAAGCCTTATTTCCCACCTCCTCTCACCTTTCTCCCATCTTAATTACACATGAAGTCACTGTACCAAAGAGTTCATCATTTAGGTGTTTTGATTATTTTTGTTGTGTCAGTTTGTTTCCTTGGTTAAATTGTCAGCTCTGTTAGAGCAAAGACTCGTTTCTTTCTCCCCTTGTGTCTTCCCCCTCTACCAGCACTTCTCTGAGCTGAGTGAATACTTCTTGATTAAGGACAGTGTAACACAAATTTATGCTTACAACAACGATTGAGGATTGGCTCAGTATAATTCTTGGTTAGTTCTCTTTTGTCAGAGTATCAAGGTGGGGGGTGGTTTAGGAGAGGAGGAGGAGGAGGAGGAGGAGGGGGGTGGGAAAGAGGAGAAGGTCTCCAAAATACTCACACTTTCTAGGTGATTGTGATGTGCCCCTTAGTTGAGGGCTGCTGTTCTAATGGAAGATGGCCATAGGTACATTTATTCATTTATTTATTGTGCTGCTTCTGTATGCTAGGCACTATCCTAGGCTTGGAGGATACTAAGACGTAGAGTCTGTTTTCAAAGAAATCAGTAAAAAAATGTGTGGTAAGTGTGACAGTGCGTGTGTATTTAAAGTAGTATAGGCAGCCCCAAGAGAGGGAGTTTTTAGTTTTCATTGCTGTTTTCTCTTCCTCTTGCCATCACCACTTTAGCACCTCTGCCAGCATGAGTAGATGTGAGAAGGTGGTTTTGAGGGTGCTACTAGATAGCCCTTTAGGGAAAGTCAATGCCTGCATCTTGAATCTCAGTTTCTTGTTGTAGGTGTCTGTAACATCTAATACTGCGTAAGAGTGATAGTTTGATTCTCCCCAAATTACTTAGGTTCATGACTGTATTTCTCCTGTGTTTATCATCATAGTCCATTCAGCAGACAACACAAGAATGGAATTAATCATTCCAGGAGAGCAGCATTTCTACATGAAGGCAGTGAATGCAGCTGAAAGACAGAGGTGGCTGGTTGCTCTGGGGAGCTCCAAAGCTTGTTTGACTGATACTAGGACTAAAAAAGAAAAAGGTAACTATAAATTTTTCTTTGGTGGTGAGAATATTTTCTTAAACATAAATGTTAATTGTCTTGTCTACTTTTAGGAATCTAGCCTCAAGAAATATCAGAAATGTAGATGAAGATTTACGTGCATGACATTCATCATAGTAAAAAAACTTGTAAACAATGCAAAAATTTAAATTTAGGGGAATGGTTCAGTTACCTCTAGGCTGGAATAAGCTGCTCTGTAGCCAGTAAAATGTTTACAAGGAATTTTAATAATGTGAGAAAATGCCCAGTGTTAAATGATAATTGTAGAAAAGCAGGATTCAAAATTACATATCCATTCATTGGCCAGCTCAGGAAAGATCTATGAAATCAGTCAAGTTGTTACCTTTGGAAAGGTAATTTGTGAGAAGGAGACTCACTTTTTACTGTATATACCCTTTGGTACCTTTGACTTTACCATGTTCATATATTGCCAACTCCAAAGGATTAAACAGAAATCAAAAGCAAAGTAAATAATTTATGGTATTACTTCAACCGTATGCAGATACAGTGCAAAAATAATAAAATAATTTATGTCTTGCCAGTGAGTTTGCGGTTGTTTTGATTTTTCTTTTCTATATATATTTTTTGATTTTCTGAAAGTTTTCATTGAGTGTATATTACTTTTTATAATTAAAAAATGATAGAAGTTATTTAGATTAGTGACAATGACTGAATTATGGGTATTGAAAATGAAGGTCCAAAATTGAATTTATAATCCTTGAAAAACATATGAAAGAACATCATGCATAGAGTATGGCTACAGGTAGGATAAGAAGGAATGGAAATTCATAATAGCCAAAAGATAAAAACAACCCAAATGGACATAGACAAAGAAATAGGTGAACAAAATGTAGTATTATACATACAATGGAATATTATTCAGGCTTTAAAAGGAAGGGAGTTGAGACACATGCTACAATGTGGGTGAATCTTAAAAGATAAGTAAGTGAAATAAGCCAGTCACAAAAGGACAAATACTGTATGATTGTACTTACTAGCATACCTAGAGTAGTCAGAGTCACAGAGACAGAAAGTAGAGTAATGGTTGAAGGGGCTAGGGTGTGGGGAAGATGACAGAGTTCTGGAGATGGATGATGGTGTGGTGATTGTAGGACAATGTGAATATACTTAATGTCACTGAACTATACACTTAAAAATGGCTAAAACAGTAAATTTCATTACATATTTTGCACTATAATTGAAAGAAAAGAGGGAATGGACTTAAATTTGAGTAGAACCTAATTCAGGCTAGGTCAAATAAGCAGATAGAGCTTGTTTGGTCCACTGTGGCCAGAGTTGCTTTGTGGCTAGTATCACTAGCCACTGACTAGTGGCTCAGGGAATATGGAAAAACGCCAGGATCTGCTACGTGTATTTTTCCTTACTTGTGCTGTTTATATTTCTACTTTAGAATGAATTGTATGGCTGGATGTTTAGTGTGTCTGGACGTATTAAATAAAAGAAAGTAAGCTCTTAATAAGACAATTGTGAAAACAATATAATGTGAAAATGAAGTTATGAAAGGAACAGAAGAAAGCAGATGTTTAATACAATAGTTTTAATGACATAAAAATTAAAAACTTCTCTGCGTTAAAAGGTACAATAAAGAAAGCTGAAAGAGCAGATAGAACTGGAAACATACTTGCAGTATATAGGACAGGGGAAAGATTGCTATCTTTAGTGTGTAAGAACTTTTATAGATTAATTTGTATATTATTAAGAGAAAAACTGAACATCAAAATTGGAAAAATATGTAAAGGACAGAAAAGACAATTTACAAAAGAAGAAATATAAAGCACTTTTCAAATGAAGAATGAGCAATGGAATGGAAATGTCCTGTATAAAACATCCAGTGGTCATCATATTGCATCTGGAAATTAATCTACCTAAGCTTCATGTCAGACATATGACTTCCATTTTTTCCCCAATTATTTGAAGAGAGGGTATTTCCTCAATATCCTTGTATCTGTTTCCAAGGGCCCACACCTCTTAAGCTATAGGTATTTATATCTATTCATATAGGTATTTATTATCTATTGCATTACTTTTAAATGATTCCATTTTGTTTTATTGCTGAAAGAATATGAAAACAATCTGACTGAATGTTTATATATATTCCTTTCAGAGATAAGTGAAACCAGTGAATCTCTGAAAACCAAAATGTCTGAACTTCGTCTCTACTGTGACCTCCTAATGCAGCAAGTTCATACTATCCAAGAATTTGTTCACCATGATGAGAATCATTCATCTCCCAGTGTAGAGGTATATATACAAAGATTATCCCTTCATGTCTGATTATGCTTTGTAATACACTGGTGGGTGAGGTTCTTCTCATAAGGTGGCAGAGAAGCTATTTTTAGCTCTTCTGGGCAATCCCTACTCCAGACTCTGGAAATCTCTAGGATCTTCTAGATTGTATCTGTGCAACCAGAGTAAAGCAGGAAGCAGCACACTGCCCCAGGGAATCAAGGCTTATTTAATCAAGGGAATCAGCCAATCTGATAATTTGGAGGTTGGGGTGGGGAAGAAGCATTCCAGGCTTTGTTCTCTGGGCTAGCTGAATGAATCATTGGACAGCTGCTCTTCTCTTTCTTTTTGTGATGAGGTCCCAGTTTCTATGACTCAGAGTTGATAACTTAGCTTTGTCAAATAACTTTTTAAAAAAGTCCTTCTCAGAACAGTAATGCAGTAATCAAATTTCGAATTTGTGGGACCTGGCTATGAAATAGGTTCACACTTTCTGATAAAGGAGGACCAGCGGGCCCAACTGTTCTCTGGGTGAAAAGCCAGCATGGTTCCCAGTCACCTTTTACCTAACTTAGGAGAAACGGGACAAGAAATTTTCCTACTTCTGTGGCCTTCTCCTGGTGGGGAACAATCTTATGTGAGGTCATATTTAGTTGTAGGTACATTAGACCCTCAGGGCACTCACTGTTTCACCACAAGCTCTCTGGAGGTGGGTGCCCTCACATTTGCTCCAGCGGCTCAGTGACAATATCAAGGACCTGGTCTTGCTCCAGCCTTCCACTCTGCCATTCTTGGTGTGTTGGATTTGCCCCCTTATGTGCAAGGCCAAGGTCATACAGAGGCAGGAGGCAGTGGGGTAACCAGGGTGGAAAGAGACTTTCTTAACTTGCTGTCCTGGGCTTTTATCTGGGAACAAAAGTCCCAGAAACTCCTTAACAGACTTCTCATCTTTTTTTGTCTGGGTCAGTGGAAATTAAGAAATCTCAATATTTGACAGAGGGTCATGGAATAGCCATGAGTGGCTTCCACCAGTCAGGAGAATGGGTTTGGAGTAGATATGAATTGTGCTTGCCACTTAGTAACGCTCAGGGTGTTCTGCTGTGACCACCTTCAGAATTTTGATACTTAGAAAATTACTGTTTAGGTTAGGTTTATCTAAGATAAATTTTTGGATATAGTTTTTCAATATGATATTTGGTTTAAATGCAAAATTTATTTTTTCATGGAATCTAATTTCGTACACTGTTTGCCTGATAGACATTTCTTATTTATATATTGCTTTAATTGTCTAAGGTAGTATATTTTAAATAGATTTGCACGTAACCTAGTAAGGTGTCTGTTGTTAGGTAAGGTTTAGTTACGTGATTATAATGTGCTGCATGATTCCATATAATTGTGGTTGAATCTTTTCAACTCAGTGTGTAATTTTTCAGAACATGAATGAAGCCTCTTCTCTGCTTAGTGCCACATGTAATACATTCATCACAACGCTTGAGGAATGTGTGAAGATAGCGAATGCCAAGTTTAAACCTGAGATGTTTCAGCTGTCCCATCCGGATCCCTTGGTTTCCCCTGTGTCGCCTTCTCCTGTTCAAATGGTTGGAACTTGTTTTTCTTCCAGTGATGTTGCATTTTTGTTTTTGTTTTTGTTTTTGTTTTTAAAGATGGAAACTGGCAGTGGAGGGAAATGGTCAACAGATAGAATATTCTGTATTGGAGCCTCTTAGCTCTGTGGGCTCAGCATGTGCCAAGGTCCTGTCCTCTTCCCTTGGAGGGACTGTGCCATTTACCCCAGAGTGCCAGAAATATATTATAATGCTCTGTGGGTGTTGTGACACAGAAAAGGTTGGGGACAGTGCTCTACTCGGTAAAAACATCACAATGGGGTAATGTTTTACTCACAAAGGAATAAAATTAAGCAGATCTTTAAAGGAGTTTGACAGGGGTTTGAAAGAACATGTTACAGGGAAAACAGTATTTTATAGCCCATATTTGGACTTGAGCCCTCTGAGTAGGCAAGTTACTTAATTTCTCTGGACCTCATTTTCTTCATCTATAAAATAAAAGGTCTTCTCCATCAGCAGGTCATTGCAAAGGAGCTGATCTGTGTAATGCAGGTGCTTCATGTCAGTTTCTTTCCTTGTGATCGCTCTGAACGATTACCCTTTGCCAGGGGTGGTGAACTCCTTGTCCTTTCCAGGTTAATAAACTTGCCCAGGCAAGCTGTAGGGAACTCATAGGTGAGACAGAGTCTGATGAGACTTTACATTTCTTTCATCCAAGTGTTTTCGGGAGCCCTTTTATAGAAGGAACAATACCACTTGGCTACTACTTTAGCAATTACCTGAAGGCATATTTGTTAGAAGAAGGAATTGGGTACAACTCATTCCGAGGTTCTCTTAACCACGCCAGCCAATTTAGTTATATGAGATTTAGTAAAGATTATTACCTACGTTTATTTAGATCATCATTTTCTTTTTTTTTTTAATTTTTTTTTTAATGTTTATTTATTTTTGAGAGAGACAGAGAAAGAATGCGAGTGGGTTAGGGGCAGAGAGAGAGGGAGGCACAGAATCCAAAGCAGGCTCCAGGCTCTGAGCTATCAGCACAGAGCCTGATGCGGAGCTCGAACTCACAAGCTGTGAGATCATGACCTGAGCCGAAGTCGGATGCTCAACCGACTGAGCCACCCAGGTGCTCCTAGATCATCGTTTTCTAATCAATGTATGATGGGCTAATAATGTCCTCTGAGACAGGTATACTATGAAAATGAGTTTTATGGGCAGATTAGTTTGGGAAGTTCTAAATGGGTCTGTCACTGGACATCTTAGAATCTCTTCTATGATAATGTGTATTATGAATCTCTGAGGAGAGGTGGTGTGCATTGTTTCTGAAATTTATTTGACAAGTGAACCCTTCCTGTGTATTTTTAAATAACAGCTCACAAGACTGTGGTGTTCAGTAGAACATTTTGACAATATTGCCTTATAACACAACTGTAGATACGTTATGAACTGTGAGATAACCTGTATGGTTGAATAACAAGAAAAGGTCTTTTGAGGTGGGTGTATATATAACACTGTGTTCCTGAAGTTGATATGTAAGGTGTCAAATACAGACTTCACTACAAATACTACTATGTTTGACCTTATAGAATCAAATGCAATAAAGCCACCTCAAAACTGCCTGTTTTTGTACTGAATTTCTGAGGAAAATGCCTTCTGTTATAAATGCTCCATAGTCCAGAGAGGTCATATGTGTATTTTATGCATAAGAAGCAATGATAACTGTTTCTTTTAAACCAAAACTTTTTATCAGTAGCAATGTTACAGGAAATCCAATAGGTTAATCTAAAAAATACTGGTTAGAGGCTGTTTATTTTTCCTTGCTTTGTTAATAATATGAGTAAATGGGAAATAAACCTGAAAGATTTGAGAATTCTAAAACTATTAAAACTCATTGTTAAACTACTTTATGTAGCTAATATCACTGTGTCCCTCTTAGAATAAATTTGCATTCAGTCTTATTTCAGGTCATAATGGAAGTTCAGAAAATCATCATTTTGACTCCAGACTGAGTGATAATTGTAGTGGGGATATCATTGGATTAGTAATCCCGAAGGGAGTGACTTCTGTTAAAGGAGATGTTAATGTCCATTTGTATCTTAATGTCAATCATATTAGATGTTCTGGACTACAAAATGGGTTGGTCATATCTGTCATCATTTCAGCTGGGATTTCTCAGAGCTATTGTTGGCTTACATTACAAATACAGCAGCCACTTATTTACATAACAGACTTTAGACTTGGACTGGTAAGACCCTTGAGCCCCTGCATATAAATATAAAAGCAACCTGTAGTATAAACTGTGCTTTTCTGCTACCTTGCTAAACATTGAAATAATCTGTTTTAATTGGTGGTCTCTTTCTATTTTTTTGGTGGAGTCATTGGATCTTTTAAATTGTGTTTAGTATTTGTCATATTTATTAACACTCTGCTCATTCAGGTTTTTTAATTTTTAAAATGTATGTTTTAGAGACTTGAGACTTAGGGTTCTTCTGAGTTCTTAAAAGACTCAGATTATTAATGCTATCTTCCACAAAAACCACACTTTAGAACATCTGTATAACAGCTACCTGAATAATGAATTACAAAGAGAAGCTTTGCTACCAGCCTCTTTTCCTGGCCTTTAAGAAAAAGAGAGAGGAAGATATTTATTAGAATACTTTCTGGCTTGCTAGATACTGCTTTAAATAGTATGATTTTTTTGGATTAGTTATATATTTTTAAAATATTTTTATATACATGCACTCACATATGCACACATATATATGATATATATGTTATGTATATGATGTAAAATTTGGTTTTTAGTATTGAGAAAAGAATCTAGCATATTTTTGATAGGTGTTGAGAAAGATTCCAATTAATTGTTATTAGGGACAAAGCTTGACATTGTGCTAATAGTGTTGCTTGAGTCTGTAAAAAATAAATATCTTGGCTAGTCATCTTTTTTTCGGAGTAAATTTGTGTTAATTATGATAATGATAATAAGAGCTGTATTCTACTTCGCATACTAATTATGCTTATTTTATTTTAAATTTCTAGATGAAGCGTTCTGTCAGCCACCCTGGTTCTTGCAGTTCAGAGAGGTAAAATAATCTTTTCTTTTAACCAAGTACTCTCAGAAATTTACCTACTTAGGGAAATTCTTTGGGCCTTTAACGTGAAGTAGTGTGGAATGGAAACTCTTTTTGAGCAGAGCTTGGTTCTGATTTGCTCAGCATTATATCTCTTAGTTACTAGTTTAGGGCCTGGTCCTAGTAGGTAGTCAGTAAAGATAAAAATGAGTGGATGAATTAACCAGCAAGGTAAGCACCTTGCCGACTATTGTACCTTTTTCAGATGTTTGAAATTATATCAAATGATGGTAAAAAAAATCCAGTTTTGAGGTGAGCTTAGACTCACTTTACTACAGCTTTTTATAGTCACATATTCATGCTGATCTGTTGTTTATGAATTAAAGATCTTACTGAAAAGAGAGAAAAACCAATTGATATTTTAAAGTATATATGCATATGAACACATTAAGACATTTGCCTTCTAGATAGATCTCGCCAATATCCCAGGTTATTAAAATGTTCATTATCTTAGTAGATAATAGTCTTTCAAGTTGCCCTAGTTGTCATATTTGGTTCTTCGGAAAATGATGAAATTGTAGTGACATTAGCTTTATTTCTCTTATGTTAAGACTAACTGCCGGGGCACCTGGGTGGCTCAGTCAGTTAAGTGTCCCGACTTTGAATCACATCATGATCTTGCAGTTCGTGGGATCCAGCCCCGCGTTGGTCTCTGTGCTGACAGCTTGGAGCCTGGAGCTTGCTTCAGATTCTGTGTCTCCTTCTCTCTCTGCCCTTCCCTCATTCTCTCTCTCTCTCGTTCTGTCTCTCTCAAAAATAAATAAACATTAAAAAAAATTAAAAAAAAAAAAGAGTAAGTGCGGCACCTAGGTGGCCCCAGTTGGTTAAGCATCTGACTTTTGGTTTCTGCTCAGGTCATGATCTCACACTCATAAGTTTAAGACCCATGTCAGGCTCTGCACTGATAGTGTAGAGCCTGCTTGGGATATTCTCTCTTTTCCTCCCTCTCTGACCCTCATGCTCATGCTCTCTCAAAAAACAAAAACAAACAAACAAAACTCTTAAAATAACTGTTAACTGAGCCCTTACTGTTGTTTTGTCACTGCCCCCCCCCCCCACCTCCATGATTATGTAATCTGTGATTGGACTATTATGTGCACAGAGTCCAGTGATGAATATATGTATCCAGTCCTGTCAGGGAATAAAGAGTTTCACTAGCTGAATTTTCCAGAAAAATAGAAGCTTGATTCCTTTTATAAACTTTCATTTTTATGATAGAAATTTTTGTGAACTGTATTTTATCTTTTCTACCTAATTAGATAAAATATAATTAGAGTTAAAAAAATTTTTTTTCGTAATGAATCAAGATTATCATTAAGAACAGTAATGTTGGGTTTTTATACAGTGGTAGCCAAGGTGCTGTTGAGTGGTGGTGGTTTATTTCTATATTAAATATTTTAGATTGACTTGTCTACTTTTCTGATTTTCTAGACTGTTTTTTAAAATAGTTTTTATGGCCTCCATTTGCCACATTTATTTGTTCTTGCTGCTGTCAGTGAGTTGACCTCTAGCATGTTCCTAACCTACTTGCCCACCCCCTTCATTCTGCTGTTTTTGATGATATGGATTGACACTAGATTCATGCACTTGTGTAGGTCATAACTTCTAGTTTTCAAACATTTGTTAACCATCTGGTATATCTAATGTCTTGGTGGACCCTTCTGTATAAAAGAAGTTGCTTCATGGTTCCCCCTTTCCATTTAATTCGGCTCAGAGGCCATATTCTTCAGGTTACCGGCTGGATTGTGAATGATTTGACTTGCCTGTGGCGTGACCTTTGAAGGAGTCAAATGTTGCTAAAATAGAACTTTGGGCATAAAAATAGTTCTCTTTCATTTGAATAAGTCATGTAAAACTACAGGTAAGTTCAGGGTGTTATCATTTGTTTAAGGCCTTATGATGCAATGCTTTTTATTTAATTTGCAGGAATAGCCACTCTGTAAAAGAACCAATATCTACACTTCACCGACTCTCCCAGCGACGCCGAAGAACCTACTCAGATACAGACTCTTGTAATGATACTCCTCTTGAAGACCCAGACAGTAAGTTAAATGGGCCCTCTCTCTTTCTTTGGCTTATTCCCCCAAATTGTGGTGGGACTCTATGTGTGTTGTAGTCAATGAAGGACACTGACAGTGAACACTGTCTTTTCCCTTTGGATTAATTCCTTAATTCAGAGCCAGGCAAATAGCACACAATCAACAGAAGCTCATAATATCCTCCTACAGACACCTTTATTATTAACTAAGAAGTGCTGAGTAACTGTGTAAATGCCATATCTTAGATTAATATGTATAACATCAAACTGTTTTCTTCCCACTATATTTTAGTAATCTCTTAGTAATGTTCTACTCCCACTATATTTACATTAAAAAAGCGTTTTAGAACAAAGCATCAATTGTGGTTGGGATTCTAGGGGAAAATAAAGGCAAGTTCTGAGTGCAGAGAAAAAAAAATCGGTATTATTGCTTAAATAATTTGAAATGGCCAAGGAAAATAATTTTTTCTGGTGGTGGTGGTGAATTAGGGTAGCATTTATTCCTATGCCCTTTTCTCCTTTTTTCTTTAAAGAGCAGCATCCTGTGATTGAATACTTTAGGCAAGGTTTTATGATTTAGGTTAAAATTTATTTTTCTCTTCCAAGAAAAAGCTTTGAAAATGTGTCAGAATATCTAGTTAGACAGTAGTGACCATGATTTCCAGTGAACACAAATAGAGTCTTATTATTACAGCTCTATTAATATACTTTTGCTTTTCAGGGTCTTTACTATTGCCCATGAAGCATGTGTGATGGAAATTACATAGAGTTCCTATTTGGGGGGCAGGTTGTGTTCCAGGAGTTTGTAAGTCTGTTGTTGGGAACAGATTTTATTTCCCTTGTGGAAATGGTGTGATAAGTGGTGTTTAGATTCTTTAGGTTGTCTAGAAGAGCTCAGCTAATTCACATTGATTAGGATAGAATTGTTTCACTGAACCAGAAGGTTAAACAGGTTTAATTAGAGGAGAATGTAGAGTTCACGAAAATGGTGGAGGTTGGAGAGGGCCTGCTGCCCATTTTCAGATTTTTAGGAGTTGATGGCATCTTTTTTTTTTTAAGTCCATTTTCTTCACAGAACTATTTATTGACATAGAGGACTACTCTACACTCATTGCCATTTTTAACTCAAGTTGAGGAAATGGGTAAAAGAAATGAAGGAAGGAAAATGGGTGAGGGTGGGAAGGGGAAGGGAGAAAGTAACTTTCCTGGGCCAATTTAGTACAACTTGAAAGAGATAAGAGGAAGAGGGTTAGGGGTTAGGTGTGGGAAGAAAAATTACTGGGGGCAGGTAATGTATATTCTGATATACCTTGTTCTTTCTGCCTTGTATACATGACCCTTTTAATCTAGAGCCCATGAAAGAGCTCTATATGCTGCCTTGTACTTTTCTCTGGATGCAGCTCTTTTTTACTTTATGGGGATCATTTTTATTTGTGACAGTGAAAATAATTTTTTTAAAGCTAGCCATTTTTCTTTGCTCTCTTTTTAAGCACGCTGGTTTTGAATTTTTTTTTTAAGTTTATTTATTTATGAGAGAGAGACAGAGAGCAAGCTTGTGGGGGAGGGGCAGAAGGAGAGGGAGAGAGACAGTCCCAAGCAAGCACCATGCTAAGTGCAGAGCCTGAAGCAGGGCTCAGTCTCATAATTGTGAGATTATGACCTGAGCCAAAAATCGAGGTGGATGCTTAACAGACTGAGCCAGCCAGGCGCCCCTTAATTTTTTTTTTTTTTTTTAAGTAGGCTGCATGCCCAATGTGGGACTTGAACTCATGACCCTGAGATCAAGAGTCGCATGCCCTACCGACTGAGTCAGCCGGGCACCCCTGGCTTTGAATTTTTGAAAACAATTTTTATAAGTTCTGAGTATGCATGCCTTATTCCATGTAGCATTCCCCTAGTTAGCTGCTAAGGAGTGTAACAAAAGTAGTCACACATATCTGCACAAACATACACACATGCATACATATTTATATACATACATGTGTCTCAGTTCTCTAGAACTTTTTTTAAATTGGGAAGTGTAGCCTAGGTCAGAAGTTTTATCCTTAGGTTTCCTGCTATTTATCCTAAAGTTTAGTGTCTCAGTTAGTTGACAGAGCAGAGACTGAATTACTGTTCTTCTTTACAAAGTACATGTTTTACAGTTGGGTGGTCTTAGTCCGAAGCCTTTATCCCCAGATATTCTTTTCCTTGAGAGATAAAACTGCTTCTATTATTTATTAACTGGATTTTTAAAAATTATAGAAGTAATAAATGTTTATGGTAAATTCAAATAAATATGTACATATAAAAGTGCAATTGTTTTGCAACAGGGCCATGCCAGTGTGTTTAACTGTATTCAGTCGGAACTGCAATGATAGTTCTGTCAGCTGCATTCCAAGTGGAGATATGGGACCTTTCAGTGTGAAATACCTTGTCAGCTCTGCTCAGAAAGTCTTGTGGTAAAAAGAGCAAACCTGAATTAGTCCTAGTTCTGTTACCAGTTGGGTAATCTTGGATTAGGCATGTAACCTTTTTGGGTCTTTTTTTTTTTTTTT